AAAAAAAAAAAAAAAAAAAAAAAAAAAAAAAAAAAAAAAAAAACAAATAAATAAAAAACTAGATCAAACATAGAAATAAATAAAAATAAATTGATAAATACCTAAAATCAAACTAGAAACTAGAGGGAAACACTTATTGACGAGACTCATGCAATGAAACTAATTTGAAATAAATATACTTTTTATGATTTTCACAAGCAAATGTATTCTTAATTTTGTTTTTAATATACATATCTATTTATTAATTCTTATTTATTTTTTTTTTTATATTTTATTTATATTTTTTTATTTATTTGTTTTAATTTTTTTTATTTATTTTAATTTGAAAATTTTTATTATTATCATTCATTAATGCTATATACTATACCAATTTTCTGAGTTTAGGGAACAATTGGTAAAGCTACATACGAAATATTTTTCTACTGAAATAATTGTTTTAATATATAATTGAATCTTTCGAAATAGCTTAAAGTATTAGCATAAAAACTAATACTTTAAAGCTATTTTGAAATATTCAATTATATATTAAAACAAATATAAATCAAAACAATATAGTTATGGATTGCAATTGCATTGTAAAATTTTACAATTAAGATTCTTGATTATATTACAGAAATATTATTACACTCTGAGCCCAACGAAATCAGGGAATAATATTTTTGTTTATGAAAAATATTTATAGCTATTTATTTTGTTGCATACTTTTGGCGCTTTTGAAATTTACTTTTTGCGCTGATTATTCGAATCTGCGTATATATTTAATAGATTTATTATTTTTCGATTTTATATACTAACAATTAATAACTGAAAGGTCTTATTTTATAGAAAATGAGTTAAATATTAAGCATATGAGGTCTGTGCACCTACCTCGATCGCCTCTTAACTCGTCCGCCGGCGCTGCTCAAGCTGCAGATGCTCTCCCTGTCGGAATATCCGGATGCGCGGTTTGGCGTCAGATTCCGCAAGTTCTCGTTGGTCAAGAGAGATGCGAGGCTATTCGGATGGCTGTTGCCGACAGTGTGCGGTTGGGCTTGCGAATGAGCGCGAGTACTTTTCGAGTTGTACAAAGGAGCGCCGTACTTGAGGAAGTTTTCCGTTTTCATTTTACACAAAGCGAGGCGAGGCCAACATAGGGCGCACAACGGAGCAGAGCACAATGGAAACTAGGTCTTGGGGGGTCGAGTCTTAAAACTTTGTTACGATTTGTTCGGCACTTGTGCGGGCATGCAAGGATGCAAGTGGGGAAAGCACTTGTGGTATGCACTTCCTTCCGCTTGGCGGTTATGCTTTAATTGTTTCTTTTCTTTGAGCTGGCGTTAGGATGCGGCTACGGCGAGAGGCCCGGAGACGGTCGCGGATGCGGTTACGGCGGGGCACGACCGGATGACAGGACGACAGAACGTTGAAACGTGTTAAAGTTAAACTGAAACGCTCGCGCTCACATGTCAAAGCTTTTATAGACTCGCTATTACAACACAATTCCTCGTCGCGCCGTCGACTTCGACTTGACAGGGCAGGGCAGGGCAACCCTTCGGCTAGTTGCCCGGGTTGCGTATATGTATATAGTTTAGTGTGCTTTTAATGTGTTCGGTGCCATGGCGTGCCCAGCCAGAAATTCCACAGCATTATGTTAACAATTGTGCGAATGCACAAACTGCCTCCAGAGGCGTTCGCCCAACGGGGGCCCCAATCCGCAGGGCAAACAATCTGTGTGGCAGACGCCGCTGCTCGGCAATTTGGCTGTGCGTCTGTTTGATCGATAGCTGAAATGGTCGACGTTTGTCGCCGCCGATGTATTGACGGCACGCTCACACATCTGTGCCAATATTTGGCTCTGTCTGCTGTCTCTCTCCAGTCTCCCTCCACCAGCCCTCGGGCGCCGTCCCGGTTGTTCAACTCGAGGGAAACGGGGCCAAAACACATTTTTGGAGCCCACCAAAATAAAGAGCAGTGCATATTTTTGGGGTTCTCTGCAAGTGGTTTATAAATACTACCCACGAGTTGCCATTGACAGTTAGACTTGCCGCTGACTGCTTTATATTGTATAATCAAAATATTGACAAACTGCCAGGCAATCCGTTGCTAAACGATCACAAATTGGTGCCTTCAACCTTATTCCAGTTGACGTTTCCCTTCATGTGGTATTTGCGCTCTTGCTGAAGATTGAGAATGAAATCGAAGTCGCCTTAAGTGGTGGAAGAAACCAAGAGGTTCAGCTGCATTGGAGAAGACTTTAATTTTATTTATTTTAATTTCGAAAAATATTAAATTGTATTGTAGAGGTATATACATATATTTTTTCATTTGATTATTAATTAAATATATATATTTATGGTTATTACCTGACCAAGTTTCCTTAATATTGATTTTTTTTATTATTTGTGAACACGGGAAGAACGAAACGAATTAATAATTAAGGAGTCGACCTTAATACCATATTTCCATATTTCCACATGTATTATAAAAGTAAGAATACGTAAAAATGGAAATATAAATATAAGATTTTAAAAGTAAATAAATAAAAAACAAAAGATAAAAATAAAATTGTAGAAATATCTAATGAAAATAAATAATTGAAACATTTTATTTTATTCTTTAAAAAATGCATTTAAACATTCTTTTGTAACTATTTATTATTTTCATATACAAACGATTATTTATGAAAATAATAAACATTTAATATTTTATTTAAACAACAAAATTTATAGTTTTTATTACCATAGACAGACGAACATTTCACATATATACCTTACTCTTACTATTTTATTATAATAAATTTATGTTCTTCAATATTTAAAATCAAAAGGTTTGATATTTCTAGTTCATACACATTATTTAATATTAAAAAAAAAAAAAAAAAAAAAAAATATTAATAATTTTTATTCACATATGTATTTGATAAAAATAGCTCAAAGAGTTCTGCTAAATAAATATTTTGTATTCTAAAATTCTTTATTTATAAAAAAAATAAAAAAAATGTAGCTAAAATTTGTTAATTAAAAATCTACTTTTATTTGTTGTAAAACAAGAAGATCGTGTTATTGTGATGCAAAGTCGAAAGAATGGTTCGGTTTGCACTAATTTGTGGCGCGGTGTGCACAATAACCACAGGGGCACTGGCACATGTGGAAGCGCCTGGGCTGCCAACAATTGATCTAGAGATCGGAACAGTAACTTATGAGCAAATCACAGACATTTAATAGCTCAAATAACTCAGGCCGAGTGGCTGCTACCAGGAGGGCAACCGTGCCGCGAACGAACTGCGGCTCAGCCTCCGACTTCGACTCCAACTCCAACTCAGACTCAGACTCGAGTCCAACTGTGCCGAGCCCAGCGAACGCGCGCTCAATCAATCAATGCAATCTGTGTTATCATGAATAATTTCCTAGAGGGCATATTTGGGGCTGTAATTGTGAGTGAGTGTGGAGTGGAGTAGCCCTTTTGCTGTTGTCCGACTCTGCTCGTGTGTTGCATCATTATCAGCTTCTTGCGATTTAATTACCAAGTCCAGAATGCGGGGTCTAGAAAAAATATTAACCCTCTAAGATAAACGCATAATGCCGTACTCCCGCTTGCGCCCGATCTGAATATCTGCAATACAATTCATAAACATAAACAGTGACTAGCATGTGAGGCACTCATGTGTGCTTCAGTGTGTGTGTGTGTGCATGTGTGTGTAAGTGTTATCGATCGTGGTCAATGTTGTTGGAAACAACAAACGGCCCGGACTTAAGACCTGGTCAGATCCAGGCCCAGTCCAAGTCCAAGTGGAAGCCCTCGGGGCGCTCTCAGCAATTTTCATTGCTGCCGCTGCCGCTGCCGCTGCTGTTGCTGCTGCTGCTGTTGTCGTGGCCATGGCTGTGGCTCCGACTTCAGCTTTGGCTTCGCCTGTGTCTGTGGCTCTGTATTCTGTGCTCTGATCGTTGTCGCGATCTGCTGCCTTGACTGACTCTGGCTTTGACTTGCTCTGATTCGGCGTTCAAGCCAAGCCAGGCCAACAATGTCGACGTCGTCGTTGCTGCAACTATTTACAACACTGCATTCCTGCGCCGCAGTCATTCAAGAAGCCAAAGCCGAAGACAGAACCATAGCCAGAGTCAGAGTCAGAGACAGAGGCAGCGGCAGAGCCAGAGCCATGGACGCTGTTGAACTTGTTTTATGCCACTTTGGCTTATGTGTGTGCGGTTGAGCGAGTGCTCCTTCAACAAATGCTGCCCAAGCCGCCTGCCTCATAAATGCTGTAATAAGCCCACAACAACAACCACAACAGCAGCAACAACAAAAACAACAACAACAACAGCAGCAACATTGAATGTGCGCTCGAAACATGTTTATGAAAAGAAAGAAATTCCATTGCAAACAAAAGAGCCAAAGCGAGCTGAACTGATCGGTGGGAGAGGCGCACACTGCGCATGCTCACATGTAATCCAACTCTCACACACTTACACAGATGCACATTTACATATCGACTTGTGCTCTTTAGCCTCTTTCTTCGACTGCTGCTGCTGTTTCTCTCTCTCTCTCTCTCTCTCTCTCTCTGCCGCTCTCTTTGCAGTGCCTCTCTTCGAGTCAGGCTGTTTGGCCTGTGGGGATATTTATTAATGCTATGGTGAAATGTCTTGGCCATCGGAGCGGCCTGCTCGAACTTGTGACCAGTGCAAAAGTGGCACAGAATTTTCACCAGCCGATCTCCAATTGAAGGAGCCGCGGCTCTGGAAAGTAACTGCAACTCAACCAGCGCATATACTACGAGGCTAAGCAGAGCAAAACGTATTTTAAATTAATTACTATAAATGAAAACTAGGTAATTTTACGCATGTCAAAGTTTACGCCAAAACAAGTGTAAATATGTATATGAAGTTATTTATGTATATGGATCACAGTAATGCAGAGAACGTTGCACAAATTATTCTAACAGAAGCTCAGATACGCGGTATTACCCTCTATATACCAATATAGAAAATATTTGGAAGAGGAAATGGGGAAATTTCCTTATTACAATATACAATATTAAGAGACTTGAAATTGCAAATATATACATATAATAATAGTACCATACATCATTTCTATATAAATTTTAAATGTAAAAAATAATTTCTACTGCTTAATATCTCTTTTCTAACAACATTGATCACATCTAAATGGGATCTTAAGTTATACCAGCTTTGTCACGCAAACATTAAGTCGAATAATTGGTTCCAGTTCAGCTATAACTTATAGCCTAAAAGTGAAAATAATATTGCACAATATATGACGAATCGTAATAACGAAAAATTGTGTTTTAAAGTCCAGTAAAAACTGGCAACACAAATAGTTTCGCTATCGACCAGAACATTACAAACATGGCAAATAATCTACAGGCCCATTTCGTAATTGCCAGTACGTGAAAATTCTAAAAAAATAACAGAAGTAAATTTGTTTTATTTGCAGTTTTACTCCTTTCACATTTTCCGAGCAACCAAGGGATCAGCCCAGAGAAGCAAAAGATGTATGATACTTTAATATCAGCGGGCCAATTGATCGAAGCAATTGGTCTTGCGAGAGAGAAGGCAGCCGAGTACTATAGCAAACTTAACTCAACACAATTGAATATTATAAGCATAGCTCAAACTATTGCAAATAGTCTGGGTTTAGTCGGATCGAAGGAAGGAGGTGGTCGGGAATGACTGGACTAGAAGATAGATAGAAGACTACGATTATAAATTTCATTTCATTTATTTGAATAACAGATGATAATATATTTTGCCCAAGCTGTAAAGGATATATAAGAAATACTTATATTTTCTCATATTGCTCCCATGATATCTAGGACTTCATTAATGCAATCTAACAAGATCTACTGTGCCCTTAATCAACACCAAAGTAGGTTTATGGTGTATCCTGGTCACGCCAATACCGAGTCACAATATTGGTTCCAGTACAATTGCAAATTAAATTAAAATTCATATAAATCGATATATGACGAATTCGGTTAACAAATAAATGAATAAAGTAGAGTAAGATCTGACATCAGAATAAGTTTTGCTAGCGAACAGCTCATTACAAACATGGCGCATCATCTACAAACCTATTTCATAGTTGCCAGTACGTGGAATCTTTCGATATACTGAAAATATTCGAAAAATAAATATAAATTCGTTTTATTTGCAGTTCTGCTCCTGTTACATTTTCCGAATTGCCCCGGTTCCATCATAGGCACAATCAAAAATAAGATATATGACGGTGTCATATTCGGGGGTGAAAAGATCGAAGCGATTGGTAGTGCGGGGGAAACTGCTGGTAATTACCTGCAAAAACTTAATGGAACAATAATAACGCAAACGGTGGGAAATGTGCTTGGACGCTGAGAGTACAAACCTAGTAGAAATTTTGAATAAAAATGGAGTTCACAATCATTTCTGATCTTGAAATTATTCCTTAATTTAATTATTAAGTGTTCACATCAGACAAAAACAAGGGATAGAGGGGGTTA